AATACTGTCAATGGTCACGTTGACTGCTGATCCATTTAACTAATGATTCTTATTAAACTCCGCCCGCAAAACATGAGTGAGTTAGCGACCCTGAGAATATAAGGGCCTGCGCTGCCACCATTTTATAATGGACTGTGTGTCAGTAACAATTCTTTTTACTCTCATACTTATTACCATTGGTAGCGTGACGAGAGGAGGCTCGTGGGTATATGTAATGATAGTATCAAGTAATAGGAAGAAATAACGGTAGATACTGTAGGTAAATAATAGACACAATATACAAATACAATTTATTTAAACATTAATATGGATGTTACGTTTTAAGTGCAGAAAGTGGCTTTCTTACCTTAGAACTCGGATACCTTCACACTGGTTACTCACCCAGAGATTATGGTGTATCACTACGTAGAATTTTGCCTCTGCTTCCGGCACTCAATGCGTTATGTGCTTGATAAATGATGATTTAGTAGATTCCACTAACTTCCAACATCCATCTAAGTTATTGGTTATACTTTGTCGTAACCAATGAGTCATTACCCTTAGTAATAATGATAATAGAGGATCTGAATACGGGCAGATGATTGCACTTACGTTTGTTGGCACAATTCCATACACTGGACTTATAATTTGCATGGATAGGTCCAGTCACTCACATTCACGCCACAGTACCGTAAGTTATAAGGAGAGTTTGTCAACCTGGTGAATTAATCGTTTAGATCTATTAGGCCGGCCTGGGTGCTCTTGCAAACAGGCCCTCACCGTGATCACTTCCTACAGGATGTGTTAACTTGTCTGGACTTAACAAAAAATCTCGAGGAATTTGCACACACACAGACCCGTAGCACAGTAGGACTGTATGGCCCTAATCTTAAGTCCCGCAGGCAGGTTCTTCTCTAACCCAAAGTTAAAACCCACTGGCTAAATTGGTTTTGAGGCGTGAAGTGATGAACAGTACACCACTGTCTCACTGGCCTGCCCCCATGTCCCAGTCATGGCTGGCCAGTTACATATCTCTACGGTAAACAAACATTTGGGATGGGTTGTGCAGGAGGTGCCTAGCACATCCATGACAATGGATGTAGGAGAAAGAATATATGTACCAACAGACGAAATCTGGTACTATGTGCCCTCCAGGCTCAACATACTCACACCACTACTGGGTGGATATACTCAATAACACATAACTCTTATAGTCACTTAGCACCATAAAGACCAGGGCAACTGCCACTACAACACTCAGTCGTCAGGGTGATACTCAAACAACCGTCATGGGGTCCTGCCACCATGGGGTACTCAACGAACTCTGAAGATCAGTGGATTAACCCCACCACACAAATAGCCCTACTGGGTTAGACACTCATCCACCAATGATGGGGGCTGGTAGTGGTGTATGGCAGTGATCAGGGTCACCTCGCAGGCCGAGCGTTAGGGCCAGACCAGCCAGCTATGGGGCCATGGGTAGTCTGACGGTCGGGTCTCCCGAAGGTAACTCAGTCCTACTGGACCTCCGGACATCTCCCCAGACATAGTGGATACAACATCCACCCTACAGACCGACCTAGGCTGCGTTAGGGACCTGTATGGGTGAAGGGCGAGCACTTACTAACAGTGACAACATGTCACATTTCAGGGGACGTTAAAGGGCAATAAATATGACTTCACTCAGAGCATATCCAACTACGTTACTGTAACACTTGCACAATCAACTAATGTGGGTCAAATCACTTAAGAAGGGCGAATTACAACACAGGTGGAATGGCCTACCTGTATGGGTGAAGCGACACTTACTAACCGTTAAAATGTCGCGGCACCCTCCTCCAAAATAGGTCAGGAGTCCACTACTTCTATTTCGATGAATTAATTTACTGTACACTCTGACGTTGAAACTGAGACTATGAACTCAGTTTCATTCCCTACTACTATCCTCACTAATAATGCTCTGAATGAGCTATCAAAAGCAAAATTAAATTGATTACAAAGGGTTGGATGGCAACAGGTCCCATCATACAGCGTCTTGCTACAAAATCCACGGATTATATTCAAAGTTACCTTTAGACCAGGGTCACCAAACTTTTTCACAGTGGGCAGGATAACTGAAAGAATGATGAGAGCGGGCTGCAAATCATTCTGTTCAATACTTGCAAGCCCAGAACGAAAGCTCTGGTAACGTCAGAGCGTGGGCAGGCTACCACGAGCCGAGGAAGGACTTGGGATCCGGCCGCGGGCCATAGTTTGACCCCTGCTTTAGACAAAGACTGACCTATCGATGACGTCATCAAGTCAATGCGAACCAGTAGTGTTCCAAGGAAGATAGTTCTGTAAATTGTTTCAGTACAAAACTCGGCCAGGATTGGGGAGTTGTTATTTACACCACTACTAGCAGAGTGTTGATCTCCACAGCATCACTTGAGGGGGCAGTGTTCAGGTGGCCACGCCGCCTTTTTAATACATACATTAGCAGAGTCATAATCTCTTCTCCGTAAACACCGCCCACCTCCCTAATCTTTGTTTGGGTGAGCAGCAAAACGTCCTTTTTGACACTAATGTTTGACGCCAGTGATGAAAACACTCCCGGCGATGCCAGCACGCCCGCCAGTAACGATGACAGTCCGTATGGTAAAGAGTCAGGTGGCCACGCCGCCGTAAACACCGCTCACCCCCTAATCTGTTCGGGTAAGGCGGTAAAACGTCAGCACTGACGCCAGGGGTATGTCATCATTTTGGCTGTACTTACAAGGCAATAATGCGAACCAGTATGGTGTTCCAAGGGAAGATAGTTCTTGTGTAAATTGTTCCAGTACAAAACTCGGCCAGGATTGGGAGTTGTTATTCACCACTGCTAGCAGAGTGTTGATCCCAGCATCACTTGAGGGCAGTGTTCAGGTGGCCACGCCGCCTTTTTACCATACATTAGCAGAGTCATAATCTCTTTCTCCGTAAACACCGCCCACCTCCTAATCTTTTGTTGGGTAAGGCAGCAAAACGTCAGCACTGACACTAATGTTGACGCCAGTGATGAAAAACACCGGCGATGCCAGCACTACGCCAGTAGCGATGACAGTCCATGTGGAAGAGTCCAGGTGGCCACGCCGCCGTAAACACCGCTCACCCCCTAATCTTTGTCTGCAACGTCAGCACTGACGCTCCCCACCAGCCATGATCCATGACACCTCTCAGCGCTCACGCCAGTGGTGATGACACTGCCCCCCCCCTAGTCGCTACATCTGGTGTGGTAACAGGCCGTGGGTGGAGGCACATGGTTGTTGACACCAACGATAAAGCCAGCGGCGATAACAGCCTCGGTAGCTTATTATGTGCCTTATTTACACCTAAATGACATACAGGAAAATCATGTGCAATACTGAGTACATCATGACTATATAAAGTAGGAATAACTATCTGCCGGAGTATCAATAGGCCTATGTTTCCCCCAGAAGCAGATCATTATTAAAAAAATAACATGTTCCACCTGATGCTTCTCTTTCATCAGCAGCAAGACTCAGATAGTGAACAAGTTCTTCATCTTCCTGTCTAGCTTTTATAAGATTATCTCGTGTAGGGAAATATTCTGAATTTCTTTATCATTGGAAGGGTCATTAACCTCAAACATTTGTTATGCCATAACTTAGCAACTTGAATTACGTTAAAGATGAATATAATAATGGCAGCACATTTGGCACAAAGAAAAAGATGGCAACCCAGCACAACTTAGTCCTTAATATTTATCACTTAAAATAAATGTTACTTCAATACACTGCAACAATGTTATATGCAGAAGTTACAAACACAAATAAGGACGAAATTGACTGTCATAGGTTCAATTACAGTCCTCTTACTTTATCACACCAGTTCAGGAGTGAAGGTTTGGAATCATACACGTCAAAAAAGATTCAAGTAAAATTTAATAACAAAAATTTACCATAATAAATGTGCAGGTTACATAATGAACGGATAAATTAATCAAGAGAATAAATAGTATACATGATTACTGACTTTGAAAATATTTAGCATAGGACAAAACATCGTAAGCAATGACTCCTTACAAAGTTAAGCAGCACTTGGTTTTCCATCCTTAATAAGCAACTAATATGTGCACAGTATATAAACCATAAATCATTTTACAACACAATAATTTATTGCACTATACACAATACATAATAATAGAGCAGCACTGAATAAATAATACTCAACTAAACCATATTAGAGAAGGTATCCACCACTGACAAACCCAGATGTTCTTACACCTCCAATGCCCAGCAGTGACTGACAAGACACACCGTGTACCAGTGGACTAAATGCCTAACAGCACTAATATAAAGCAACTCCTACATTAAGCTGCAAAAATAGTTAAACATAAATACTGTACATACATTTTAGGATAATTTTTAGGTATCAAGTACCAATTTGCTCACAAATAATTATACAAAATATTTTACATACATACATACATCCAAACACCAACACCACGTGGAAAGGGAGGGTTAACAAGCATCAAGATACTTTCCTATATATAATGCAATGCATTACTGTGCATACGCCCCCCCCCCCTCCTTCAAATAAAACCCATAGGGTCTTACATTGGCAATACACAGTTATCAGATCTGCCTAAATTGGTCTAGTCAGGGTATCACCAATAATGTTATCCTTACCCTTGATATGTCTAATTTCAATATTATATGGTTGAAGCACCAAACACCATCGAGTTAAACGTTGGTTTTTGTTCTTCATGCGAATAACAAATTGCAAGGGGTTGTGGTAGCTGCTCCCAAGGTATACATCAAATTTATCTAGCGCCATTAACAATGCAGCTGCTTCTTTCTCAATGGTAGAGTAATTTCTTTTATGAGGCTTAAATTTAGTAGATATGTAAGATATCTGGTGCAAAACATCATGATTACCTGCTTGCAATAAAACTGCCCCAGCTGCTATGTCACTCACATCTACTTGTACAACAAATGGTTTGACAAAGTTTGGTACCCTTAATACTGGTTTAGACATGAAAATTGCCTTAATTTTCTCAAATGCCTCTTGACAACTTTCCGTCCACCTAAAATCCCTTTTAGGACTAACTAAATCAGTTAATGGTCTAGCACAGTGGTTCTCAACCTTTATCACTCCATTCTCCCCTTGAGGAATTTTCAACATCCTCGTGGCCTCCTTCATTTTTCTCCCAGAACAGACAAACAGACAAGTGATGATAAAGACTAAAGAATGATAAAGAAGGACAGATAAATAGGACAAGAATTAGACTGGCAAACACACACACACATTCACATACATAACACGCCCATGCACTCACACATAAAGCACACTTACAGTCATACATAAACATGCACACAGGTAAACATTCACACTCAAGCTAGCAAGCTGAAGTGTACTTCCTGTAGCAAGAACAAGCCTCCTTTGACAAGCACTACCCAACTTGGAAGAATGAAAAGAATAGTGAGTCATATCAATTTAGCACTAAAAAAGGTAGGATTATATAAGTAAAGAATGAGTATGGACAACAATGGCACCAATAAATAAGGAAATAATTAATAAAGGAAGTGTACAAATATTTCACCCACGTAAAGCAGCGACCACATGAATTATGAAACAAAATAAGTAACACCAATTACGGAGTAGATTATGCTTGAGTCAAGCTCAAACACAATATATGGTTCAGAGACACTGCACCCAACCGTTTTCGTGATGGTATCCCATGCCAGACTGAGATCATTCGGTCCTATCACCACTTGCAAAGGGACGACACACGGACACGTACTGAACAAGTCAGTTCAGCAGCTCGGTCCAGCGCCTGTCACACAGACAGGACTGGACCTGTGAAATCTTAAATAATCCGTAAACAATACAAAATAAAAATTAGCACCAGAGAATGTAAATATTAAAATTGTATTGTCGTTATGATTAAAGAATGAAAATTCTCTTCTGTCAAGTCAAAATAAGTAATACAAGTTTTGTTTAATTCAGATTCCCAACATTATTTGGAAACATACAATTTATAACAGCTCGCCGTCGCTCCCTTGGGGGCCATGGTCCCCAGGTTGAGAACCACTGGACCCTAGACTGACTGCTAATATCAAAATTATTCTTCTCCCTTTTTCTCAATTCTAGTTCTAATTCTAGTTTCCTTAATTTATGTTTTCTTTGTCGCTGGGCTTCTTCGCTTTGTGTCTGGGCTTCCTCTCTTTGTCTCTGGGCTTCCTCTCTTTGTCTCTGGGCTTCCTCTGTTTGTCTCTGGGCTTCTTCTCTTTGTGTATGGGCTTCCTCTCTTTGTCGCTGGGCTTCTTCTCTTTGTCTCTGGGCTTCCTCTGTTTGTCGCTGGGCTTCCTCTCTTTGTCTCTGGGCTTCCTCTCTTGTCTCTGGGCTTCCTCTTTGTCTCTGCTTCTTCTTGTGTATGGGCTTCCTCTCTTTGTCGCTGGGCTTCTCTTTGTCTCTGGGCTTCTTCTCTTTGTCACTGGGCTTCATCTTGTCTCTGGCTCTCTCTCTTTGTCACTGGGCTTCTCTTTGTCTCTCTGTTTCTCTCTGTCTCTGCTCTCTGTTTGTTCTGGGCATCCCTCTTTGTCTCTGGCTTCTGTTTGTCGCTGGGCTTCCCTCTTGTCTGTCTCTGGGCTTCCTCTCTTTGTCTCTGGGCTTCCTCTTTGTCACTGGGCTTCCTCTGTTTGTCGTTGGCTTCCCTTTGTCTCTGGCTCTCCTTTGTCTCTGGGCTCCTATCTTTGTCTCTGGGCTCTCTGTTTGTCTCTGGCTTCTTTTGTGTCTGGGCTTCCTATCTTTGTCACTGGGCTTCCTCTCTGTCACTGGGCTTCCTCTCTTTGTCACTGGGCCTCTTGTCACTGGCTTCTCTTTGTCACTGGGCTTCCTCTCTTTGTCACTGGCTCTATCTTTGTCACTGGGCTTCCTCTTTGTCACTGGCCTCTCTTTGTCACTGGGCCTCTCTTGTCACTTTCCTCTCTTGTCACTGGGCTTCTTCTTTTGTGTCTGGCTTCCTCTCTTGTCGTTGGCCTCTCTTTGTTCTCTTCCTCTCTTTGGTCACTGGGCTTCCTCTCTTTGTCACTGGCTTCTCTTGTCACTGGCCTCTTTGTCACTGGCTTCTTTGTCACTGGGCTTCCTCTCTTTGTCACTGGGCTTCCTCTTGTCACTGGGCTTCCTCTGTTTGTCTCTGGGCTTCTTCTCTTGTGTCTGGGCTTCCTATTTTTGTCTCTGGGCTTCTCTCTTTGTCAATGGCTTCTCTTTGTCGCTTTCTCTTTGTGTCTGGGCTTCCTCTTTTGTTCTTGGGCTTTTTGTCTCTGGGCTCTCTTTGTCACTGGGCTCTCCTTTGTCACTGCCTCTTTGTCACTGGGCCTCTGTTTTGTCTCTGCTTCTTGTCTCTGGGCTTCCTCTTTGTCATGGGATTCCTCTGTTTGTCTCTGGGCTTCTTCTTTTTGTGTCTGGTTCCTCTCTTTGTCTCTGGGCTTCCTCTCTTTGTCACTGGGCTTCCTATCTTTGTCTCTGGGCTTCCTCTCTTTTATGTCTGGGCTTCTATCTTTGTCACTGGGCTTCCTCTCTTTGTCTCTGGGCTTCCTCTCTTTGTCTCTGGGCTTCTTCTTTTTGTGTCTGGGCTTCCTCTCTTTGTCTCTGGGCTTCCTCTCTTTTGTCTCTGGGCTTCCTCTCTTTGTCTCTGGGCTTCTTTTTTTTGTGTCTGGGCTTCCTCTCTTTATGTCTGGGCTTCCTATCTTTGTCACTGGGCTTCCTCTCTTTGTCTCTGGGCTTCCTCTCTTTGTCTCTGGGCTTCCTATCTTTGTCTCTGGGCTTCCTCTCTTTGTCACTGGGCTTCCTCTCTTTGTCCTGGGCTTCCTCTCTTTGTCTCTGGGCTTCCTCTCTTTGTCCTTGGGCTTCCTCTCTTTGTGTCTGGGCTTCCTATCTTTGTCACTGGGCTTCTCTCTTCTTTGTCCTAGGCTTCCACTCTTTGTTGCTGGGCTTCTCTCTCTTTGTGTCTGCTTCCTCTCTTTGTCGCTGGGCTTCCTCTGTTTGTCTCTGGGCTTCCTCTCTTTGTCGCTGGGCTTCCTCTCTCTTTGTGTCTGGACTTCCTCTCTTGTCACTGGGCTTCCTCTCTCTTTGTCACTGGGCTTCCTATCTTTGTCGCTGGGCTTCCTCTCTTTGTCACTGGGCTTCCTATCTTTGTCCTGGGCTTCCTCTCTTTATGTCTGGGCTTCCTATCTTTGTCACTGGGCTTCTCTCTTTGTCTCTGGGCTTCCTCTCTTTGTCACTGGGCTTCCTCTCTTTGTCTCTGGGCTTCCTCTCTTTGTCACTGGGCTTCTATCTTTGTCTCTGGGCTTCCTCTCTTTATGTCTGGGCTTCCTATCTTTGTCACTGGGCTTCCTCTCTTTGTGTCTGGGCTTCCTATCTTTGTCTCTGGGCTTCCTCTCTTTGTCCTTGGGCTTCCTCTCTTTGTCACTGGGGTTCCTCTCTTTGTCACTGGGCTTCCTATCTTTGTCGTGGGCTTCCTCTCTTTGTCTGGGCTTCTCTCTTTGTCGCTGGGCTTCTCTTTGTCACTGGGCTTCCCTATCTTTGTCTCTGGGCTTCCTCTCTTTGTGTCTGGGCTTCCTATCTTTGTCACTGGGCTTCCTCTCTTTATCTCTGGGCTTCTCTCTTTGTCTCTGGGCTTCCTCTCTTTGTCTCTGGGCTTCTTCTCTTTGCGTATGGGCTTCTCTCTTTGTCGCTGGGCTTCCTCTCTTTGTCTCTGGGCTTCTTCTCTTTGTCACTGGGCTTCCTATCTTTGTCTCTGGGCTTCCTCTCTTTGTCACTGGGCTTCCTCTCTTTGTCTCTGGGCATCCTCTCTTTGTCTCTGGGCTTCCTCTCTTTGTCTCTGGGCATCCTCTCTTTGTCTCTGGGCTTCCTCTGTTTGTCGCTGGGCTTCTCTCTTTGTCTCTGGGCTTCCTCTGTTTGTCTCTGGGCTTCCTCTCTTCTTTGTCACTGGGCTTCCTCTGTTTGTCGCTGGGCTTCTCTCTTTGTCTCTGGGCTTCCTCTCTTTGTCTCTGGGCTTCCTATCTTTGTCTCGGGCTTCCTCTTGTTTGTCTCTGGCTTCTTCTTTTTGTCTGGGCTTCCTTTTTCTCACAGGCTTCCTCTCTTTGTCACTGGGCCCTCTCTTTATCACTGGGCTTCCTCTCTTTGTCACTGGGCTTCCCTCTCTTTGTCACTGGGCTTCCTATCTTTGTCACTGGGCTTCCTCTCTTTGTCACTGGGCTTCCTCTCTTTGTCCTGGGCTTCCTCTCTTTGTCACTGGGCTTCCTCTCTTTGTCACTGGGCTTCTTCTTTGTGTCTGGGCTTCCTCTCTTTGTCGCTGGGCTTCCTCTCTTTGTGTCTGGGCTTCCTCTCTTTGTCACTGGGCTTCCTCTCTTTGTCACTGGGCTCTCTCTTTGTCACTGGGCTTCCTCTCTTTGTCTGGGCTTCCTCTCTTTGTCACTGGGCTTCCTCTCTTTGTCCTGGGCTTCTCTCTTTGTCCTGGGCTTCTCTGTTTGTCTCTGGCTTCTTCTTTGTGTCTGGGCTTCTATCTTTGTCTCTGGCTTCTCTCTTTGTCACTGGGCTTCCTCTCTTTGTCGCTGGGCTTCCTCTCTTTGTGTCTGGGCTTCCTCTGTCTCTGGGCTTTTTCTGTCTCTGGGCTTCCCTCTTTGTCACTGGGCTTCCTCTCTTTTCCTGGGCTTCCTCTCTTTGTCACTGGGCTTCCTCTCTGTTTGTCTCTGGGCTTCTCTCTTTGTCTCTGGGCTTCCTCTTTGTCACTGGGCTTCCTCTCTTTGTCTCTGGGCTTCTTCTTTTTTGTCTGGGCTTCCTCTCTTTGTCTCTGGGCTTCCTCCTTTGTCACTGGGCTTCCTATCTTTGTCTCTGGGCTTCCTCTCTTTATGTCTGGGCTTCCTATCTTTGTCATTGGCTTCCTCTCTTTGTCTGGGCTTCTCTCTTTCTGGCTTCTTTTTTGTGTCTGGGTTTCTCTCTTTGTCTCTGGGCTTCCTCTTTTGTCTCTGGGCTTCCTCTCTTTGTCTCTGGCTTCTTCTTTTGTGTCTGGGCTTCCTCTCTTTATGTTCTGGGCTTCTATCTTTGTCACTGGGCTTCCTCTCTTTGTCTCTGGTTCCTCTCTTGTCTCTGGGCTTCCTATCTTTGTCTGGGCTTCCTCTCTTTGTCACTGGGCTTCCTCTCTTTGTAACTGGGCTTCCTCTCTTTGTCTCTGGCTTCTCTCTTTGTCCAGGCTTCTCTCTTTGTGTCTGGGCTTCCTATCTTTGTCACTGGGCTTCCTCTTTGTCACTGGGCTTCCTCTCTTTGTCGCTGGGCTTCCTCTCTTTGTGTCTGGACTCTCTCTTTGTCGCTGGGCTTCCTCTGTTTGTCTCTGGGCTTCTCTCTTTGTCTGGGCTTCCTCTCTTTGTGTCTGGACTTCCTCTCTGTCTGGGCTTCCTCTTTGTCACTGGGCTCTATCTTTGTCTGGGCTCTCTCTTTGTCACTGGGCTTCCTATCTCTCTGGGCTTCCTCTCTTTTGTCTGGGCTTCCTATCTTTGTCTAGGCTTCCTCTCTTTGTCTCTGGCCTCTCTTTTGTCACTGTTCCTCTTTGTCTCTGGGCTTCCCTCTCTTTGTCACTGGGCTTCTATCTTTGTCTCTGGGCTTCCTCTCTTTATCTGGGCTTCCTATCTTTGTCCTGGGCTTCTCTCCTTGTGTCTGGCTTCCTATCTTTGTCTCTGGGCTTCCTCTCTTTGTCTCTGGGCTTCTCTTTGTCATGGGCTTCCTCTCTTTGTCCTGGGCTTCTCTCTTTGTCACTGGCTTCCCTATCTTTGTCCTGGGCTTCCTCTCTTTGTCTCTGGGCTTCTCTCTTTGTCCTGTGCTTCCTCTCTTTGTCACTGGGCTTCCTATCTTTGTCTCTGGGCTTCCTCTCTTTGTGTCTGGGCTTCCTATCTTTGTCACTGGGCTTCTCTCTTGTCTCTGGGCTTCCTCTGTTTGTCTCTGGGCTTCTTCTCTCTGGGCTTCTCCTCTTTATCTCTGGGCTTCTTCTCTTTGTCACTGGGCTTCCTCTCTTTGTTGGGCTTCTCTCTTTGTCTGGGCTTCCTCTGTTTTTGTCTGGGCTTCTCTGTTTGTCTCTGGGCTTCTTCTCTTTGTCTCTGGGCTTCTTCTCTTTGTGTCTGGGTTTCCTCTCTTTGTGTCTGGGCTTCTATCTTTTCCTGGCTTCTCTCTTTGTCTTGGGCTTCTCTCTTTGTCTCTGGGCATCCTCTCTCTTTGTCTCTGGGCTTCCTCTCTTTGTCTCTGGGCTTCCTCTCTTTGTCTCTGGGGCCTTCTTCTCTTTGTGTCTGGGCTTCCTCTCTTTTGTCGCTGGCTTTCCCTCTCTTTGTGTCTGGGCTATCTTTGTCACTGGACTTCCTCTCTTTGTCGCTGGGCTTCCTCTTCTTTGTGTCTGGGCTTCCTTATCTTTGTCACTTTCCCCTCTCTTTGTCCTTTCTTCTTTGTGTCTGGGCTTCCTATCTTTGTCACTGGACTTCCTCTCTTTGTCGCTGGGCTTCCTCTCTTTGTGTCTGGGCTTCCTATCTTTGTCTCTGGGCCCTCTCTTTGTCACTGGACTTCCTCTCTTTGTCGCTGGGCTTCCTCTCTTTGTGTCTGGGCTTCCAATCTTTGTCTCTGGACTTCCTCTCTTTGTGTCTGGGCTTCCTATCTTTGTCACTGGACTTCTCTCTTTGTTGCTGGGCTTCCTCTCTTTGTGTCTGGGCTTCCTATCTTTGTCTCTGGGCTTCTCTCCTTGTCACTGGACTTCCTCTCTTTGTCGCTGGGCTTCTCTCTTTGTGTCTGGGCTTCCAATCTTTGTCACTGGACTTCCTCTCTTTGTGTCTGGGCTTCTCTCTTTGTCACTGGGCTTCCTATCTTTGTCACTGGACTTCCTCTCTTTGTCACTGGATTTCCTCTCTTTGTCGCTGGGCTTCCTCTCTTTGTGTCTGGGCTTCCAATCTTTGTCTCTGGACTTCCTCTCTTTGTGTCTGGGCTTCCAATCTTTGTCACTGGGCTTCCTCTCTTTGTCTCTGGGCTTCCTCTCTTTGTGTCTGGGCTTCCAATCTTTGTCTCTGGACTTCCTCTCGTTGTCTCTGGGCTTCCTCTCTTTGCGTCTGGGCTTCCTATCTTTGTCACTGGGCTTCCTCTCTTTGTCACTGGGCTTCCTCTCTTTGTCACTGGGCTTCCTCTCTTTGTCACTGGGCTTCCTCTATCTACATTTGTTTCACAGTAACCAAGGTCGACACACCACTATCACCATCAACAGAACTTACATCAAATAGTGTTAATACAGACGAAGAAGACACACTCGTACTGGTACTCAATAACTATCCTTCGAACTTCGGACAAGTTTACTGAAGATTTGACCTCCAAAGCATAATATACAGCAATAGAAACCCAATCATCTTTTTCAGCTCACTCTTTTGTAACTTTTCCAGTGAAGGTTCCTCAACAAACTCAGCTAATCTAAATTCCATATTGAACTAATATACTCAAAGTGTATAACCAATAAAATTAGTAATAAATAATATTCATAACATATATAGAAGTGGTGGGATAAAAGTTCTGGTATCACTAATAATGTGGGAGGGAATGTGAATTCAAATGAGCAAGAACAAGAATAAAATTGGTCAACTTCATTAGCAAATAGGTAATCTAAACAAGAAGCACGAGCTGAACCACTAACTCACGGAGAGATAACTCAAGCAACAAGTGATAAAACAAGTGGATAATGAACACGTAAGGGAACAATCAAAATAAGCGGGTAAAAGATCAAGGACAGGTCCCCATATGTTATGGGACATACTTGTCTAGGGGTTATTATAATGCTCCACAACATGAAAACACAAGGGAAGATAAACGGAGAACGGGAATATTCCTAGAAACAGCTATAATATATAAAGTATTAAACATATGTACACTATATACACAGAAAGGTGAAAACGGAAGTACATCAACTACAACTGTGAAACAACACCGGGGACAAAAAACATAAGAATCTCTAATCCTACAATTATCACATGGAATAAGTGTTACCTATCACAATATACATTATAATTATTATATCTAATCCATACACAAAGTAAACTTAGCTGTGAGGTGACCACTCAGTAGCACAAACACAAAACCCTCATAGACACTGGATACGCTTACACAACAGGTCAGAGTCGGGCAAAACAAAAACACTCAGGAAGCCAGGGTTGTGAGTGAGTCACAGCTATAAGTTGGCCTGCCAACTAACCTCACAGAGTTGCCAGGTTGTTTATTACTCACTACGAGGATGTTAACATTGACACGTATAATACATAATTTACAATACAACAATATACAGAACAATATAACCAACAACAATACATACTACAACCAAGCATAATGATATAACACATTATAAGATGAAAAAGAATAAACAAATATAAAATGAACAACTAGTTCCTTGAACCAGCTGACTACCAAGTTGCCATCACACCTAACCTAACCTACTTAAAATATAATTTTGCTTAATTTCCATAGTAAACAACGCCTTAAATGAAACAAAGCACAAATGTCCATATGGGAAGGAATTTCCATTGAGTTATAACAATAGACAAAAAAGTTATCCCTTTTTGACAAAAAATTCAGTTGTATTTAAAGGCCTGTTGGTGACTTCTCTCTCTCTCTCTCTCTCCACAAGTATCTACCTCCTACCAATGTTTAAATAATATATCTCCCTCTAAGCTAATACAGTACTAGTCATATTTTCTACTTCATTACTGAGACAGTTTAAAGAAATTGTTTTGCCACGTCTTACAGGATTTTGTTTCCTTCGTTAATGTTTTTTTTAGCCTTCCAATTTTAAATATTTAGTCTCTTTTGTCGCTGTCACTACTGATAAATTCACTTCTTATCAGACCAGAATCATGTCAACTGCCTCCGGCTGACAGGCGAGAATGACATTTAACATAACTCTACACTGTGAAATTACACCCAAGGATACTGTAGGATTTCGTGGTATAATGTTGTCTAGCACTCAGGATGGATGGAAACTCTAAGGTGGTGGTTTTCTTATATAATATAAGTTATTTGGTAGACAGTCTGGTGCTGGAGATGCTGTGTGGTGAGGAGCTGCTCAGTAGACACGTTCGGTGAGTAGCGTGATGAAGGAGGTAGATGTGCAGGAGCTTCGTTAGAGAAGATGTTGCCTGTTGCTGGCCTCCTGGTTGAATGAAAGCTGGACAGCGAGGAGCTTGCTGGAGGAGGTGTTGCGTGTTCAGGAACCGAGAGCAGAATGAGAGAGCTGGTTGGTGAGGACGCTCAAAGAAGGACAGCTGGTGGGTCGCCATGCTCGCTGGCAGGAGAGAGGACCGCCAGGCAGGCGAGGAGAAGCGAGGGCCGCCAGGCAGCGGCGGAGGAGGAGGTGTTGCTTGTTCAGGAAGAATGGCCAGAATGAATCTCAATGGAGAGACAGAGCTTATATACCCAGCAGCCGTGAGTCAGCCGTGAGTCATGTAGGGAAAACCCGAGAAGTAACCGGTCTTTGGCTCCGTTGCTAGGATACTGCAGCATCTGGTGATGCCCCCCCCCCCGCTTGGGCCACTAGTTTGGTTGCTAGGGAAGATGGTAGCAGCTGGTGGCTGCGGCTTAGCAGTTGTAGGGAGACGTCCACTACAATACCATTCATTAAATTGGGCAAATTGGTCAGGAATTAAAAGAATGATACTGACTTAAGACAATTAAAGTTTATTGTATTTACAGTAAAGAAGAATGCAGGCAATAATGCCGCATGGTCCTCAGACCCACATAATTTAGTTATTATAGATTTTAATCCCATAATGCTGCTCTTCCCCCGCTACAAAAATGTTTCCTAATATTCTCAAAATTCCTAATAGGTAAAATAATGCAAAATATAACAGGTGTAATGAATAGGATAAGATTACATTTACTTTCATGATCTCTTTACAATATTAGGCTATTCATAACTCAAACTTTTATATTATTAGATAATAATACATGATTATAAAATACTAGAAGTTATTTATAAGCGATATATTCAGTGCAAAAACTAACTAATTATTACAAAGAAAACAGAACTTTTGATTTTACTTCCTAGAAAACCACTCTTACTGTACAACGATGACTGATGCAAACCAAATATATAACATACATCTTAATATTATGAAAATACATGTGCATATGTAACACTCTTCTTATGATACTGAACCTATAATTCTAATAAAAACTAAATTAAAAATATAATTTTCCTCTATGTCATCATTGTCTACTAATGTTCATTAGTAAACATTTTGATTTAATTGTCTTTATATTTCATCGTCTTATTAATAACAAGTTGTAATTTTAGGATCATAAATGAAGAGAATACATTCATAATTAACAGTAATTATATAGCCAACATATTTATTGATTACACACAAAATATTACATGGTGACTCATCACAGCCCCATGCAGTCTAATGCTGTGGACTACAGAGCTGGGGCAGCACTATAGTGTCCCCGCCCTTACCACGAAACTGGCATGAGTTGACTCATAATCGTCACATACAAGAGCCTCAAATTGTGCTTTATATTAACAGGCTAAATGCTACTTACTCATACTTTACACAACCAAGAAACATAAGATGGCACTGAATATATTATGCTACAGATTGTTATTAAGAGTAAACCAAACTTTGAGCAGTTTCATTCACTGGTCAACAGCCAAAATGGTTCACATATGAGATCATGCTCACACAACTAATTTCATATTGCTGAATTCGAATCTGATATTTGTTTTGTTCTATCAGACCAGGTTTTATAAAAAAATCAATAGGTACAAATATTTAATATTCCATCACGTGTCGTGCAAAAGATGAGATTATCTCATGTGACTGTGCTTTCATGACTAATTTCATATTAATGAATATTAATTGGATGTTTCATTCTACCATCAGACCTACTTTCTTAAAAAATAAAAAAAATAGTAAATATAGTAACATTATCGCGTCATGCAGGATACAATTTTAAACCTATCACAGATAAGCTCATAAAAAATTGTACCAAAAAACATAAGTTCAAATCCTTTATAATGACAAAATATGAAGTTCTAAAAGTGCTTCTGAACTTTACTCTTTCTCTTGTACAGCTTGCTCTCTTCTCGTTGCAGTGTCCAGCAATAGTCGCCCATCATGTTAGGACTCAATTGTCCCTGATATGTGCTCTCCATTATGGCGATATCTTGATGAAATCTTTCGCCGTGTTCATCACTAACGTCTCCAAGGTTACCTGGGAAAAATTCAATATGAGAGTGGAAAAAATGCAATTTCAAGGACATCCTTGCTCCCAATGCATGATAATTCTGAAGCATGGTTGGTACGATTTCTTTGTAGTTGTCAGCACGATAGTTTCCAAGAAAATTCTTTGACACATTGACAAATGATTCCCATGGTTTTTTCTCCAGTGGGTTCAATGTTTTGGTGAATTCGCTATCATTAACTCGTATACGAATTTGTGGTCCATTCAAGACACCTGCTTTCAACTTGGCTTCGGAAACCACACCACCTAGTTTCTGAGATAAGTATAGAGTCCCAGCACCGAATTGATCCATAGCTTTGATGAAATTTTTAGCCAAACCGAGCTTTAGATGCAGTGGAGGCAAAATTATCTTTTCTGGATCTACAAGCGGATTGTGAGCACAGTTAAACCTTCCAGGCGCATCTCTTGGTCTTGTCGGCCAATCCTTTCTCACATAGTGCTCTGCATCAGCTCTGCTGTTCCACGAGCACAAAAAGCACATGTGCTTTGTGTAGCCACTCTGCAGGCCCAGTAGTAAACTGATGACTTTGAGATCGCCACATATCTTCCACTGGTGTTTCTCATACTCTATAGCGGCCAACAGAATTTTCATTGTTTCATAGCTCTCAGTCATTTTTGTTGCGTGTGCTATTGGGACAGATGGAAGCCGATTGCCATTGTGTAAAAGAACAGCTTTCAGAGTCTTTTCCTGAGTCTATAAACAGCCTCCAATCCTCTGTCTTGTATGTTTCAGACTTGCAGAGTTGTTGCATGAGAGATACTGCGTCCTCGCAATAACAAAGGTTGTTTGCCATCTTGAAAAATGCAGACAGCTGTCTATGTCGGTAATGCGCTGTAGTGATATGCACTCCATCTTCTAGCAGGTTACGCTGCTTTAGTCTGGATCCCAAAACTTCAGCCTTTTCTTTGACAAGTTTAGGTCCCTGATGAGATCATGAAGCGCTTCTTGAGTAAATAGTTTAGGCCTGGTATTTTCAGAGTCATCCTGGTAGTCGTTTTCCATTGAGGTGGAGGTAGAATCGGAATCACTCAATTCTTGTTCAGTCGGTGGATTTGGGACTGGAAGTTCAGCACTGTGCGGTACTGGTCGGATTGCAGAAGCAATATTGGGGTACTGTACCTTGCCTCGTGTCTTGATTTTTATTCCCTTAATATTTGTGAGACAGAAGTAGCAGTCACTACTGTGGTCTTTAGGTTCACGCCATATCATTGGTACAGCAAACGGCATTCCTGAACTTCGTTTACCACACATCCACTCGCTCAGGTGGTTAACACAAGACTTACAGGCTACATGGGGTGCCCATTTCTTGTCTTGGTCACCCAAATGACATTTGAAGTAACTTTTGTAGTTCAGTCGAACAGCTTTTGTGATTGGTTTCTTGAGGCTACCAGGAGTGAAGGCACCACATATGTAGCAAAAACTGTCAGCACCGTTCACACACTTGCGACGTTCCATGTTTTGTTAATTTCAGAGTAATTACAAATCATGCAGGTGTAGATATGCAATATCATGAATCAGCAAATTGAAACAAACAAAAAAGCACAAATCAGGACAAAATAATTGCATAAGTGGAGCCAATGAGCATATAAATTGCTGTATGAATAGCATGGTACACTAAATATATAGATATGCTGGTTCTGGAAAACTGAGCCTGATACAGCTATACGAATGTCATAATTGAGTTCAGCACATACAATTACACTAGAATCAGACTGTTTTGATCCAGAACCATGAGAATTTTTTTTTTATGTTGACCAATGTTATTGTTGCTCAAACTAAAACTTTATCTTTGTGACTAAAGCCCCCTAAGATAAATAATACTAAGAATATTTTAAATAATTATTTTTATTCATTATTATTTCTAGTTTCTGACCATTTCTCTGACATGAAAAATATTTAATTTAATATATCATAAAACTGCAATACCTAACCTAACCTAACCTAACCTAACCTAACCTAACCTAACCTAACCTTACGTAACCTAACCTAACCTTACCTAACCTAACCTAACCTAACCTAACCTAACTTATATTGCACTTAAACTCGGGGTCTTTTGTCTTACTTTGTACTTTAACTGAGGGGATTTTGTTCAGGGGGCTTTTAACCGGACCCTATATTTCAAGACCCCCCAGAAATTGTTGGAAGGTAGATAACTTATAATATAATGTGATCAACAGACAGGCACACATGGAAGCTCGGCGTTACTTGGAACTTAAGATCGCTGAGGAGTTCACAAGAGTGGACGGAACCACTCAGCTCTATGTGGCCCAGGAGAGTGTCTTCCCTGGACTATCAGCTTGGCCAGTCCCTCACGACGCTCCCTACAAACATAGACTCGATCGCTGCATCATGTTTATCAAAGAGGTTAGTTTCTGACGAACAAGATGGATCAACATCCACCAGACTCTGGTGAGTCATTAGGAGGTCTAATGATTAATTCCTTTGATCCAAAGGGAGAGATTTAAGGGGGCCTCTGACCTCCTTGCAGAAATATAATTACATGAATATAGTAAAACGTACTAGCAGGTGTCAAATATCTAAAGAAAAATTAAAGTATGAGAAATAGGCCACATTGATCCTCCCTCCTTCTACTGTATTATCAGTTGGCGCTTGTATGTGCTGCAGTGGCCTTAAGAGTTCAAGCCTCTTTCGGTGATTAAACTAAAAGCCTACGTTAATCCACACTCTTCCCATTCTTTGATATCTTCAGTCCAAGCTGGTGATGGGTGTCCTTTTCTTCGTTTATTTTCACCTTTCTCTGTTTCTATGTACTATTCTTTCGCATCACATTATTAAAAAAACTCATCTTTCTTGATGTTACACCCTTCCACAGCATCAATTTTGTGCTATTTTTTCCAAAACCTATTGTTTTAGTGTTCATTCCATCCATGATACTCTCAGTATCCTGCGGCAGCACTACATTTCAATGGTATCTATCTATTTTGTTCTTGTCAGTTTAGTTTGTTGCCCATGTGTCAAAATCGTACGATGCAATCGCAAGAGCAGTACCCCTAAGGTATATTCACTTTGACTTTCTTTTTTACGGAGATTAGCCCGCCCAGGTACAGATAATAGACCCACATCGGGGCCTGGGGGCTATGAAATAAAAAAATGAACCAAAAATAAGTATAGAAATATAAAAAATTAAACAAATAAAGAGTGAGCAACGATATTTGTGTTGTGTTGTCAAGGAAAGAGAAACAATTGAGACCGTGCAATTGTGTATAAATGGTGCAGAAAGACAGATCAGCAACCTGGGACTTGGTCACAATTTTTGTGATGCTATATGGCAGCAGGGTCTACCATAAGACAAAAACATTATGCTTCTAATATCTACCCAGGCGGTAGTACCTCCCTGTTTGATAGTTTCCGACTACTTTCTACACCTCTACTTTTCCAGATGGTAACCATTTTCTACTAATATTTCTCTGATTCCTGGCGTACTAAAACCCTTGGTGTTAATAAGTTACCCCAGATACACAAACTTTGTAATTTCTTTGACCTTGTCACCGTTGATTACAAAATCGCTGTAGTCTTACTTGTTGTTCAACACTTTCGGTCACTTATCGAATTGACGATAAGTACCTTGCTCTCACACAAGTGTCACGTAATTTAAAGTACAGCAGATAGATCTTCCCTTCTACGTTACCTGTAATCCTCACTGCATCATGGTAGTCATGTAGTACTTACCATATGATGTCTTTTGAGTAGGCTATATGTTGTACAGATTCCGTGAGATAATGCAACTCTGTCGCACTCCGGGACCAATCTTTTAGCTTTGTAAAATTCCCCTTTCTATTGTTCAGTACATGTGTTATTAATATATTATTGCAATAGAGTTTTGTGATAGGATCAACAACCTTTGTTGACTAACACAGTCAAAGACATTTGCGTAGTCAATGAAACCCAAGTACAGATATGGATGATGTTAGTCTGTTCCCGGGTTCTCGTTCCTTCCCTAAATCCTGCCTTCTCTTTTAGACCATGGGCCGAGGCCAGCTATCTTGCTTAGATTTCGAGATCCGTAGTCCCCACCTGGGAACTACCTTTATAGTAATGTTATATGAACATCCATAAACCCTAAATGACATGTTCCCAACTTTAAAACTTGCACGTTAGGTAGAAATTTTATAAATTCTAATTTACTGGTTGCTATGGAGATGTTTACCTTAGCAACAGAGTGAAACATTGTTTTAAGCCAACTCTAAGGGTCGCGACTAGCAATACTGGATGGAAATAGCCTTACTGTATACCTTAAAGGTCGTTCAAAGTCGTCCCAAAAAACTATGATGGAAAAAAGGCCTAGAATGTACTCGTTGCTAAGAGTAATATTCCCTAGCAACCATAATTTATAGCCTTATGTTCAGAGACATTAAAACCTTTAATAAATGCATGCAAAATAATACAAAGCAACAAGCGATATATATTTAATAACTTTTAATTGGACATCTTAAAATACATTTATATAAGTATTTTAATTCTAGATAATAATTTTGCACATAGGCGAAAATGTAATAAAAAATATTGAAGAAATTCTATCATCAATATAAAAAATAATGGACAAATATTACACATAAAAAATTACTTTTGTTCCTATTAATATTATTAATAATTGATAATGATTAGTATTAATTGTCATTACAAATTATTAATAATTACAATAAAGAAGATTTATCATCTAATCAAGCCGTAATTATTACATAAAAGGGCGACTTTAAGGGACCTGGTTATTGGTGGAAACAAACATTCAGTTTTTCAACACAAATAGCCAGCTCCTGTTATGTGGTGCTACCTTGCCATCATTAAAGAGACTAACACTGTTACACATGTCTCTGTTATTTATATAATGTGTCCTTGAAAGAGGGATCAACTTTACAGAATTTAGTATGATTGATTTAGGATCTGAAAATAGTCTACCAGTGGTCAATATACTATATTTTTCATATATTAAAGTTCATCATCTGAACCTTCCGCGTCTATATCTTGTTCAGCAACTACTGTTTCTGGGGTAGTGGTTGAATTCTGACATTCTGAACATGAACACAAGTCGGTGCAAGGAAGCTTGTTATGGAGACATGTGCTTTGTGCATCTTCCTTGTGCACATAGTCATCCAATCGACTACCAATTTTTTGTCTTCAATTTTCCAACCATTACTTTCAGGTGGCGGTATTTCAGGATTTTGAACTAGACATCGCTCATATATTGCTGCCTGATAATTGGCCCGCTGTATGTGCTTCAGACGGGAATCCTTATTCGGGGGTAACTTAAATTCTCCATATCTGCCAGACTTAAACATTTTCACCCGTGATTCATTTACATCACAGCAATCGTTTTGTCCATATAGCTCGCATATATATGCCTCCAGCTCATCAGACAGAATCTGAGAAACCTCAAATACATTTCCAAGTTGTGCTAATGCTGCACAGTGAGCAGGATTTGATATCATGATTTTGGCAGTCAAGTTACTCAACATATACAGTCCAAGATCTATATCAATATAGCCTGCTCTATGTACCTACCTAATTCAGAGATATGAGCTAGCCTTTCATCATGTTTCTTTCGTGCTCTGTCTATCTTCGTTTTATCTGTAAAACGCATGTAGCACTTGCAGTGATATCCGGCGATTTCTACCTCGGGGATTTTAGCGTGCAACGCTTCAAAGCTCTGTACAAGCTCTCTAGTCCATAGCGATTTATGGAATCCTTGGCAGCTTCGGATTCCCTGGTGTCTAGGTATTTCCATAAATGCGCACTTGAGACAAATTTTCGCCAACTAGCCTCAGAAAACCTAATAATATTGTCCCGTCTTGTAGAATCAACAACGTGCACGGAGAACGCCATGTTTATCAATTTTGGTGAGAGACGGCGATCATGATTGGCCGTGGACCAGCCCTTATGAGACACACTGTTCCTTGACGGGTACTACGGAATTGGATGATATCGAGCCTCGGTCCACGGTCTATTTCGCCATCCCCTCGCCTTTTGCTTTTATCCTGGCTATGATTATCTTCTGAAGAATTTTACTCGCATGAAGTATCAAACTGATGGTCTGGTGAGTGGAGCACTCTTTAAGGCTGCACTTCTTCGGTAAAGGTATAAAAGCAGATCAAGTCCCTCGGTCACACATTTCTTTTCCAGTTGTCATAACAGCACGATGACAGTCACTCCTGTCGTCTTTCATATTTCTGTCTGGATCTCATCTAAATCAGATGACTTTCCAATATTGATACTGTATACAGTATCTTATAGTGTCCATTCACTTCTCTGACTTCAGTTGAATAGACTTCAGTTCCACATCATTTCTTTTAATGGGTGTAACCAGCTGATCGATGTTCCTTTTCATTTCTGTGCAGTTCTTAACCCATCTTTTTTAAATGTCTTCCATCACCATTCCATTGCTGTCATTTATGACATCAGATCTTGGAAACCAGTTTTCTGTCAACTCTTTCAACAGCCGAGACTCCTTCCCGGGTTGCTCACTCCTGTTAGCTTCTCTTTCCAATCGTCCTCATTCACTTTTGTCACCGTTTTTCTTAGCTCTTCTCCTTTTCTCTGCACATTTATAAAATTGATTCTAATATCCATGGTTGTTTCTTCAGGACGCTGCTCATTCTGCCAAGTGGATCAGAGACGTATGAGAGGCGTGTGAGTTTTATTTTCTTAGTGACTAGCAGTTGGTGGTCACTACCACAGTCAGCACTTGGTCGGGTCTTTATTACAGGAAATACTGATCTTCGTCTAATAAAGTTGTAGTCAGTCTGATTTTTACAGGCAGTCTTCCGGGACGTTGTTCGAAATGTGTGTTGCCAATGACAAGGTCGTTCGTCATGCAGAACTCCACCATAGTGATATTCCTTAATGATATGTTGTCGATAACTTCTTGCAGTTGTCCATAAAATCCTCAGTCTCCCCATCACCCTGTGTCCGCTGTTGGTGTGTAGAATTGAACCACTGTGATGCTCATTGGGTTTGCCCTCAAACGCAGTTTCATTGTTCGATCATTGACTGGGTTGTATCCAAGGATCATCCAAGCTGCAGCAGCAGTCTTTTTCACTATGAATCTCACTCTACTTGCCCTTTTGCCACCGGCAGGATCACATCTACCTAGTCCCAGTCACCAGTGCTTAGAAAACCCCAACATCTCACTCAGGACCTAGCCATCTAACTGTATACTATATACGGATTACCTGTCATTATACCCTGTACAATAATTCATGTTGCCATGTTGGTTGACCTTATTAAAGGCATGAAACATAATTCCACACAAAGATAAATATTCTTGACTCTGTTTGATATCGGGAATCTAAGGATGAAATTTTCATAACCTTATCAAAATGTGGAATACTGACTGGAGTATCTCAAAA